CAAGGTTAGTACGACACTACGAACGAATAGACTCTTGCGAGTACTTTATCAATTGTCGGAGACTATAACTATTTAGAATGCAAATTGACTAACATTCCTGGCTTTGATTGACCATTTCATAAAGTTTATTCTGTTTGAAGGAGTGTAATCAACTAAATTGTATTCAGAAGAATTCGCGGAGCATTACAACAATATTTTATGATAAAATTCATTCATAAACATGCAAATTGTAAAAAAGGTCGGTCGATGCATTCGACCACTGTGAATAGACCTGTCTTATTGTCTCACACAATCATATATTATTATGTATTTTTTATTGATGTATGCATTACTTCTCACATTATTTGTTCATTCTTCCTGATCGAGTCATACAATTTGGACAAAAACTACAGGGCAGCGTTTCGCTGCTGGCAAGCCAATGTAACATGTTATCACGAGGGGTGTTAGTGCATTTTGTGGAAGAAGTCTACGGTTTTTCACATCCTTTTGCGCGAAGTTGGCTTACATTGGTTCATTCAAAACAACGCGCCAGAAGATTCTGTTGTTGTGAGTGAACCTCAGATCAATGAGGAAGGCAGTATGTACGTTTTAACTTAATGATTGAGCGAAGTTATCTTCTTGGTGTGGTAAGACGAAAACAATTTCGCTCTGGTGCGATGTTCAAGACGTTGCTGGTAATAATTGAAGTGGCGTCACAGTAAACGACAGCGGGCACCAAAACTGGGAAGGCAGTCTTACTTTGACCTCATGCACACTTAGGTTGATCATTTAAGGATAATACCATAAAGCCATTTGGATAATAGTAAGTAAACGAAGTATATCAGAAACAACGTGTTTAGTTTTTGATTGACGACAGCATGACCGAGTTGTATCATGTCATGTGCTTGGACGTGGAGAACATTGTCATTGATAGGCTAAAAATATTTTTGATTTCATGAGGATGATTTTGGACGTCCATTACTACCTCTGTTCCATATTACTGGCGACATTTGAAAATCACACTATTTCCAAATTACTGGCGACATTTCATTCTTATTGGCTAGAAATGATGCATACATCGATTTTATTGGATAAAAT